AAGAAAGAAAGAAAGAAAGAAAGAAAGAAAGAAAGAAAGAAAGAAAGCCAACCAAATAAACAAAAACATCAAATGAGAATATCTTGAGAGTTAAATTAACTGACTTCAAAGTTTAGAAGAGAAAATGCAAAGTAGCTAAGAAAATTGGGAAAAATACTGAATTAGGGTCTTAGGCTACTCAAAAAAGAGAGTGCTACTTTACTTTAAGTACAAGAATATAATACAAAAAGAATAAAGAACTAAACATAAGAAACACAACCACTAGGGTATTAAAAATATCTTTAAAGAGGTGGGTGGAGGGATGCTTAGCAGTTAAAAGCATTTGTTGCTCTTCCAAAGGACCTGGGTTCAGTTCCCAACACCCACATGGTAACTCTTACAACCATCTGTAACTCCAGTTCCAGGGTATCTGATCCCTTATTCTGATCTCCTTGGGCACTAGGCATGCATGTGGAGCACACACATATATGCAGGCAAAACCCTCATACACATAAAATAAATTAATTAAATGGATAATTTAAAAATAAAAATATATAATAAATGCCATGGAAAAGATTTACATATTTTATTACCTTAAAAACTCTTAATAACCTGCTGTATGGAAGGAAGAAAAAAGATAAAATTTAGGTTTTTTTCACTTTTAAAAAAAAAACTATCTACCTTACCATTAAAGACTAAAAACAGGTATAGATTGAGTGACAAAGACTAAATATATGTAGTAAAGGATTAATTAACATCATATTTAAGGAAATCATACAAATTAGTAATCTTAGAACAATAAAACATCAAAAGATAGTGCCACGTACTTCAGATAGGCTGAACTTCGGATGAAAAACAAATACTTCACAAAAAAAGTAAGAAGGAGGTTGAAGAAACTGTGCAGTGGTTAAGAACACTTGCTACTCTCACGGAAGACCTTGGTTGGATTCCCAGAACCCAGAAGGTGGCTCACAGCCATTCATAATTTCTGTTTCAGCAGATTCAAGGCCCTCTTCTGACTTCTTCAGACACCAGACATATATATGGTGCACATTCATATATGCAGGAAAAACATTCATACACATAAAAAGTAAAAATTTTAAAAACACTAAAAAATGATTAGCAAATTGTAAATCAAAGTATTAATTAAATACCATTCACTTATCTATGAGGTTGCCAAAAATTAAAAGCACTAATAATATCCAGTAGTTATGAGAAGGTAAGAAAAAGAACACTCACATACTCTAAAAATAAGATCAGTTCAGATTCTTTACCATGCTAAATAAGGCAGCATCTACTGAAAATTAAATGCAAGAATCTTTTAACCTAGCAAGAACAGCAAAGTCCAGTGGCAATCGGGTGACAACTTTGAAGCTCTTACACTGGAACTCCTAACTTTTGTATCAAGATACTGCATTTGGACTCCCATGTTATTGAATCTCAGCACACCACTGGGTGCCATGCTGGTGTGAAAGGGACTCGTCCCAAGTCACCGAGACAAACTTAAGGCCAATGGCCAAAAGTTCAAAGAAAAAGTGTACACATTCTACTATAACGGAAACTCACCCAAGTCAGGCTCCACGGTCAAGTTACAGGACAGATTTGGACTAAACCGTCACTCTGGGCTTGTTGGACAGAACGTTCTAGAAGGGAAAATAGCTCAGAAACATCTTAAAGTCTCATGATGGCCAGCTCACATCACCAGCTAAGAAACCTCTTGAAGGCTGGGCGACTGTATGTGAGGGATAACCACCCGAAAACGTTGGAATTTCAAGGTGTACTTTTTAATATGGTGATAAACTGTGAATATTAACTTCACAATTATAACTATTTTAAATTGCAAGTTTCAGTTTCACAACGTTCACTATGTTCTCTACATCTCCAGTCACAACTATCCTCTAATTACAGAACTTATTTCATCACCCCCGCCGGAAAACTGTACCTGAACATGGAGATAGTCTCTTTGAGGAATTGCTAACCCAAAGAAAAATATTTAAAAAAAATAAAATAAAATAAAATTAGTCTGTAGAAAACTGAAAATTCAAGTGACAGATTTCAAAATTCTTTTTGAAATGGCCACACAGAAGCAGCATATAGGCGTGTGGCGGAGGGATAAACATATAGTGAAAAACAAACACAGCTGTGGAAAGCGGAAGGATACATGTGGTAAGTGATGCACGTGCAAAAACAGAAGACTACACGTGCAGTGCAGTGGAAGACTATATGTGCAACAACAGAGTACATGTGTGGTGGAGGGATATATATATACTTGGAGGGATATATATATATATATATATATATATATATATATATATATATATATATATATACTTGGAGGGATAGACATATAACCAGAATAGACTTATAACTGAGTCACGGACTTGTGGCGGAGGAATGGACTTGTAGAGCTGAGGCGTAAGCCTGTGGCATACGTGCGGAGGGATCAGCTAGTTCCAGGAGGGACATTTTAACTGAGTCACAGGCTGGGGCAGCCATTTAATGCTGCAGAGCATGATGCTTTCGTAGTGTGTCAGAAGCTGAGGCGGGTGGTGGGATGGCCCGCAATGCTGGGACATGGTCAACTGTCTGCAAATCTATTCCATCAGGGCCGTAACTCCCTCGACCTGCTGCCTGGGAGTACCTTACTATGCGGTTCTTCGGTCCTTACTGAAGTTGTGAGGTGAATGGAACCTGCCGTTATCCTCCATTTTCGGCCTTCTGGGATCACCTACCGCCGCTAGATGCCCATAAAGTACTGTCTTCTTCAGCCCTGGTCGCAGGAGCACTCCCCTGACTACTCTGGCCAAGGTTCTGGAAGCCCACAAGACCTCCTTAGTAAGGAAAAATCTAGAACTCGGTCGACTGAGTGAGCAGTCAGTATTCCCTGGTATTTATTAGGGTAGTTCTAGTTAGGCATTTTAGCAGGGAATAGAGTTTTGTGTGTAAATTGCAATGGAATTGGGGGTGGTCGTGGTCGAGCAGACCCTTACTCCAGATATTTGGGTGAAAAACAAACAAACCATGCTCTGTGGAAAAAGGTAGCGCTCCAAGAGGTGAGGAGGGAAAGAGGAAATATGAGAGTCAACACACAACAAGTGTGCTTTCCAAAAAAAGTAGTTGACGACTTGTAAAAAATCGGTTAATGGATTTGCTGGTGTTTGTTGTTTGTTGAAGGTAATTTTGCACCGATATTGACAAAGGATATGGAGGGGTCTATAGCCCAGACAGGCCCTGAAGTGAATACAAGGGAGTCTCCTGCCTCCCCAAAATTTGGAATTAAGGACTATAACGCTGCTTGTCCACAGTTCTCTCTTTCTCTCTCTTTTTGAGGCTTGTTTGTTTGGGGGTTTGGTCTCTCGTGTTTTGAGATAGATGTTGCTCTACATAGCCCTGGCTGTCCTAAAATTTGAAGTGTAGGCCAGGCTGACTTTGAACTCACAAAGATTTGCCTACCTCTGCCTGCTGAGTGCTGGGATTAAAGGCATGCACAACTATACCCAGCTTCTCTACAGTTTTTCAATGACTAAACTACTAGCTATATGTCTATTCAGACTTCCTAATACTGACTAGGTCCTGTTAGATTTTCTCTTTCTAGAATTTTTTCAGTTATTTTGATTAACAAGATTTTAAGATACAGTTGTCCACATTATTTTTTAAAAATTCCTTTTCATTTCTTTAAGGGTGACAAGAATAGCCTCATTTTTATTTTCTGGGTTATTTCAGTCTTTTCACAGTTTTGCCTGTCTAGCTAAAGCTTTGTTAATATTTTGAAGAGCCAACTTTGGATACTGCGGGTTGTACTTCAGTGCAAATCACTTGCCTAGTATACCCTGGCCTTGATAATTAACACTGCACAAAAAAACTAAAGTTTAGTTTATTAGATTTTCTACCTCTTTTGCTACACTTATTTTTTTTATTTCTGCTATGATCTTTATTATTCTTTCCCTTCTTAAAGGATTTTGGTTTAGTTCTTTTGTAGTTAGGTTGTTGATTAGAAATTATTTAAAATAAGTTTTAGCTTTCCATTTTTCTTAAAGCTGCTTTTGCTGCATAGGTTTTGGATTTTTTCTTTTATTTTCGTGCATCTGTTTCTAATTTTCCTTGTAATATTTTTCCTTTAGTTTGTATAAGAGTTCATTATTTAGGGGCAGGAGAGATGGCTCAGCAGTTAAGAGCATTGCCTGCTCTTTCAAAGGTCCTGAGTTCAATTCCCAGCAACCACATGGTGGCTTACAACCATCTGTAATAAGGTCTGGCCTGCAGGCATGCACACAGAAAAAAAAAGAGTTCATTATTTCATTATTTAATTTCCACAAGTCTGTTGGATGTTTTATGTAGTGATATTTTGTTTGTGTTTTAACAAATAAAGCTTGCCTGAAGATCAGCGTGCAGAACTAAGCTACTAGAGGCCAGACAATGGTGACTCACACCTTTAATCCCAGCACTAGGAAAGTGGAGACAGAAAGGGATATGGCTGGGAGGAGAGGGGACTATAAGGCAGGAGGAAACAGGACCTTGGATGCAGTCTGGGGTTTGGTGGAGACAGATGCAATCTGGAGATGCAGTCAAAGGATCGGATTGCCCCTTTGGTCTGAGCATTGGTAGCGGTAAGAACTCTTTAGTGGCTGGCTGCTTTGCTTCTCTTCTTGTTTGATCTTCAGACAAACTTTATTTGTTAAAACACAAACAAAATGTCACTACAGTTTTCTGTTTTTCTGTCCTTGTAGTCACAAAGTACTTTGCATGGTTTTTCCTTTTTATTCTGCCTTGGTGTTCAGAGTGCAGCTCAGTAGTAGACTATTTGCCTACCATGGGCAAGACCTTAGGTTTCATTGCCAGCACTGCAAAAATAATTTGCCCTGAAACCTGAACTATGACATTAAGAGGACAATGTAGTTGCAGTTTAAGACACAAGATTTGGCTAGGTGGTGGTGCCACACACCTCTAATCCCAGCACTTGGGAGGCAGAGGCAGGTTGATCTAAAGGTCAGCCTGGTCTACAGTGTGAGTTCCAGGACAGCCAGGGTTACACAAGGAAACCCTGTCTCATGGGGGAGAAAAAAGACACAAGATTTTGTTTTGTTTTATGGGTCTTAAATACAGTCACATTGTCATCTTAATGTTATCCTGTCTACCACCACCACCCCTGCTGAGGTTACAATTACAGGGTATGACACCAGGCTTTTTTTTAATGAAGCAAATGTGTTTATTTATGTCTTTTAATTTTATCAAATACAGAGAAACAGATTTAAGAAGACAAATATTAGCAGAGCATACTGGCGCAGGCCTTTAATCCCAGCACTTGGGAGGCAGAGGCAGGTAGACCTCTGATTTGGAAGGCAGTCTGGTCTACAGAGTTAGTTCCAGGACACTCATTTTAAAAGAAATGTTCAGTGAAACCCTGTCTCGAATAAATAAGTAGATAGATAGGTAGATAGACAGAAATGCTTGTTACAAGTCTATTTTATCTTTTTTCTCCCCCCCCCCCTTGTGGGGTTTTCCAACGGCCTCTGCCTCCCAAGTGCTGGGGGTATTAAAGGAGTGTGCCCGTCACCACCCAGATTGTCTATCTTACCTTAAAGTAGATAGATCATAAAATATACAGAAGTTGCTCCAGTTTTTTTGTTTGTTTGTTTGGTTGGTTGGTTTGGTTTTGGTTTTTTGTTTTTAAAGCATGGGTTCTGGTGGTAATTGGCAAACACTTTACTGATAAAAGTAGCTCCCAAGTTACAGCTTTGTTTCTTACAATTGCTTTTTTGGCTGAGGTGAGACGATATTTCATCAGAGTTGTTTGCTTGTTTGATTTTTGTGATGGTGGGAATAAATCTTGATCACCCACCTGCTAGGCAACACTCTATCACTAAGCTGGCTTCCAGTCTCAGCTTCTTGATTCCTAGGATTACAGGTATCAGTTACCATGATTGTAGTTTATAGTTACATGTTCTTGGTAACTAATGATGCTATTTTTTTTTCACGACAGGGTTTTGCTGTGTAACTATGGCTGTCTTGAAACTCACTCTGTAGACCAGGCTGACCTCGAACTCACAGAGATCTGCCTCTCTGCCTCAGCCAATATTTTTATATACTTGTTGGCCTTACACAGTTCTTTCTTTGAAAAATCTGTTTAGATTATTTACTCACTTTAATTCATTGTTGAAGTTTTGAGTTTCTCATCTTTTGAATGTTAATGCTTTGTCAAATGAATAGCTGGAAAATCTTTTCTGGGAGTAGGTTCTCTCTCCCCTATAAGAAATTTATTTTAGAGCCAGGCAGTGGTGGTGCACGCCTTTAATCCCAGCACTCAGGAGGCAGAGGCAGGCAGATCTCTGTGCGTTCAAGGCCAGACTGGTCTACAAGAGCTGGTTCCAGGACAGGCATCAAAGCTACAGAGAAGCCCTGTCTCAAGAGAGAAAGAAAGAAAGGAAGAAAGGAAGGAAGGAAGGAAGGAAGGAAGGAAGGAAGGAAGGAAGGAAG